GCATTCTTTTAAAAGGCAGTTGCTTCCAGTTTCAAAGTGACCCGAGAGTAGTAAGGGAGTGTGGTTTCTATCCCATAGGGTCTTCTAGGATAAAGACTTCTCATTCCCACATCCTTTTAAAATAAAAAAACACTAGATAATCCCCTTTACTTGGTTATCCAGATCCTTTCAATAGGCTAACAGTTTTCTTTTGGGGGGGCCGGGAGAGGGGCCTTGCAGTAACTTTATTATAACAGAGAACCCAGGCTGCAATAAGTCTACATGATTAGAGCAGATGGTTGTTATCTTTCCAAGGGTGAAGCCTGAGCCCGGCTGGCAGCACACTAAAGTTAAAGCCAAGGTCCAGAATATCCTGTTTCCTGGTATTACCCGCATGATGTGAGATGATGGACTACACAACCACACTGAATGGAAGGATGAGGTCCCACTGGGCAGAGGCAACAACCCAACAGGAGAAGATTAAACAATCACTGAAAAGGATGCTAAAATAAGGTGCAGTTGCCCACTCTCACTATTCTTTGCTGAGAAAGATGAGGTTATGGGATGAATAGCAAATTATGCCCTTCATTCTTCAAATAAATAAATCCCGAGAAGATGGGTTCAATGACCAATCAACCAGTAGAACAGGATGAAAATCGAGGCTAGTTATAGATCTTCGTGCCTCAGGAAAAGGGCAGCACAGATAAGGGAAAAGAGAGGAGCATTAAAATGCCTGGAAGCATTAAAAAGGCGAAACTTCTTTTTTTCTTAAACAAAACAGGAAACAATATCTTTTATTTTCCTTGCTGTAGTGGCAGCAGACCCTGGTTTTCATAAAACACGTTTCAGTTAACATGGTCTGTTGATAAGATTGCTCAATCATGGGAAGACAAGCAGGCTGACCATTAATGTTAGGATTAGGTCTTCTCACAAAGCCTCTAACAAGGGCTATGTCTCATGCTGGGTTCACCAAGGACCTCTCAAGACCATAAGGTACTTAAGTTAAAGCTGCTGCAATATTGCAATGGCATGATTAATGGGTTCTTTAAGGATAGGACTTTCTCATACATGTTAACTATTTCAGAAAAGTTGTGGATAAAAAGGTGGGGGAGAGTTCGGTTTCAAGCCACACACTTCCAGACACCAGCTATGGAGGCCTCTGCCCTGTTGAAGTACATGTTCTTTTCTGAGGAACACATTCAATCACTGTGGTTGAAAGAAATGATCCACTCATCACCTCCATCCTTCCTCATCCTGTGAATCTCACATGTGCAGAGGCTGAAGACAGGACAGTTGTCTCTGTTCCCTCTCATCAGGGAAATTACTTGGTGATCTGGTGATCTCATGAGCAAGGTAGCCCAGTTGTCCAAGATGACCCTGGCCACAGAGATGTGGCCGACCTCTGTCATGTAGATGGAGACCTCCTCGGTCAGCTGCTCCACCTGTTCAGGCTTTGCCCTGTGAAACAAAATATGCCAGTATAGTTGGGGATGTGCTGCCCATTGTGGGAGAAGTCCTCCTTCTTGTGGTTGGAGACCAGCTGAATCCGCATACTAATGATACAGTTGGCCATGACTTGCACTTCCTGCAACTACCATTTTTGAAAATCCGGGCTGGTCAGAATGGTCAAGGTAACCTGAGCGCCACTGAGGGGAGGGCTGGAATACAGGGGATGGATCAAGGTCTTCAATTGTGGCTCCACGCCTCTGACTTCATCAGCATCTTTGCAGAGCACAGTCAAGTCTCCCACATGCTTACCATAGAAGCCCATGTTCTTGCTAGAGGACTGGCAGAGACAAACATTAATGCCCTCTTCAGTGAAGTGTTGCACAGCCCAGGCATCCTTGTTACCATCACTACTGGCAAAGCCTTGGTAGGCCATGTCAAAGAACGTAGAGAATTCTTTTTCTCACTGCTATTGTTGTTGCCTCCTATTGCTCAGGATGAAGGTCCACTCCCATGGGATTGTGGGCAGGAGTGTGCAGAACACTTCACTCTGGCATTTTTGAAATGTCCTCCCTAGTGCCTGTGAAGTCAAAGCCACAAGTCTCGGGGTCATAGTATTGATAACCTTGTAGCTGCATGCCGGTGTGTCTCATGGTTTGGCAGAAAGACATCTTGGCTGAACTTAAAAAATCTTTGCAGAAAACTAGCTCTGATCCCTAAGGCCTCAGTTCCAGAAATGGTCTGCACAGTGACATTCTAGCCAATTTCCAACACTTTCCAGTTCTCATCCAGGATTAGTTCTAAAGATGCCTTGCAAAATTCAGCCAGTCCTGCAAGGGGCATATTTTGTTTGTTCAAATTTTTTGCAGCAATCTAGGCCTCTGCCTTCCAGACGCTAAGAGGACATAAGGCTTTTCCATGATATTGGTAGGTACCACCTACAAGATTCTTCTTTTTACTGCTGGTGTCTCTCTTATAGGCTTTTGTGACTCCCAGGATTGGATGTTGGGGCCCCATCTCCACATGAGCTCACCAGGAGCTGACTCTTGCAGAGGCCAGCTGGTGAGGTTGGGGTGGAAGGTGGCAGTGATTTTGGACAGGACACTGCTGGAATGCACAACGCCATGGTGGAAGCAAGAAGTTTGGTGGGTAGTGGCAGAATGGAGTGGCGGGTCAGCAGTGCAGACGTGGAGGCTCAGGCTCATAGCCTGACAGCTTTCTTACTGGCAGAAGACTGTATAGAATAGTTATATTTTAAGACTTTTGCAAAAGTTTCTGTTAACTCTGTCTATTTATCCCTTTTTGAATTTAGCAGAATTAATAGAATTCTTTTTTTAAGTCAGAAAGCCATTTTTTTAATTTCTAAAACTCTGGCATATATTTCTAGGGGGTGCTGATGGTCACCTGCCACACCTGTACCAGGTCATCTGCGTAGCCAGCAAAGAGTCTGGCCATCAGCAGACCAGACCAAGGAGGAGCACTGGGGCAGCCCTGACTTGCTGCTGGTACTGATAACTTCTTGTTTCCGTTCATCTGCAATGATCTTGTCCTTCAAGTCTCAGATCTTGATGCTGTGGCCTGTGGCGGCCCAGAGCCAATAGTGGTGGGGGCTGAATCCCAGGGCTTTGATGGTGTCCCTGCCATCTAGTGTATGAAGGTACTTGCCTTTGTGGAGGTGCCACAGCATGGCCTGGCCAGCCATGCCTCTGGAAGCACAGAGGAATCCATTTGGGGAGACAGTCACAGCCCATGTGGCCAGTGGGGTTGGTCTTCAGCTTGCAGTTTTCCAGGCTTTATACCTTGACCAGCTTGTGGCTTATGAACAAAAGAAATTTATTTCTCAGTTATGGAGACTGGAAGTCTAAGATCAGGGTGCCAGCAGCGTCAGGTTCTCGTGAGGACCCTCTTCTGGGTAACAGACTGCTGCCTGCTCACTGTATCCTTACGTAGCAGAAAGAGAGCTAGCTAGCTAGTGCTCTGGTCTCTTAAGGCCACTAATCCCATTCATCAGGTCTCTACTCTCATGACCTCATTACCTCCCAAAGGTCCCACCTCTACATCCCATCACATTGTGATTAGGTTTTCAACATATGAATTTTGGAGGTGCAGTAACACTCAGCCCATTGCAACCTGAGTGAAAGTCTCCTTTCACTCATTCACTGAAATATAATGGCAGACATTTATTGCATTCTACCTCACACCAACTTTCTAGTTTACGGTCTAGTAGATTGACACATCTCTAGAATATCTGGGTTATTTTCTAGGTGAATCATAGCTAAACCCCATTAACTTAGGTATTACAAATTATTCCATCCTTTATTTGAAGCAATGCTAGCTCAAAGATCCATTTGCATCTGCAAACTAGTAGGTGTCTGCTGGGTGAGTGCTCCATTTTCTCCAACTTGGAAGCCCCAGCTTCGTTTCTAAAGGAATAGCATTGTTTCTGTTTTTGAAACTCTGGTTGCTGCCCTGGTCATTTTCATCACCCCAAAGCTGTCGTGCACCCCAGGGACTTAGCCCAGCAAACACAAACTCTTCTGCTGGCTAACTGGTTCATGGTCCCTTATGGCCCTGTCCTCTATCAGGGCTGGGAGAAAGACAAATATGGAAGTCTCCTCTCTAGGATATGAAGTAAGGAAACATTGAGGTCTTAAATTTTTATTTATTTTTTTGCTTTTAACAGAAGTATCAGAGCAAAATATAAAATTTAAAAATTGGAGTGCTCTCCTCCTTGCCTTCTCTTTGCCCAATCCCCAGCCATAGCTCTGGGTGCATCCCAAAAAGGTACTTGCTGTCTGAGCCATTTCATGTCTTTTTTTATGGGGGGGGAGAGGAGAAGGTGATGTGAGGACAATGACTGTAATTTTTCATCATTTTTCTATTCCTGTGTTGATATCATTCAATCAAACATCTACCAAACACCTAACTCTGGCTCAGTTAACACACTGTCCTGAGGATACAAAGACCACACATTCCCCATCCTCGGGAGTTTGTGATCTCCAAAGAGATGTAGACAAGTAAAAGTTCAGAGGAAAACACAAGGGGATGCGTGACCATAGAGGAAAGAGGGTTTAACTCTGCCTTAGGGTGACAGGGGGTCAGGCCACTCTTCACAGAGGAGAATTATTATTCTATTAGCCGGACAGCAAAAGATACCAGGCATTAAACTGAGGTTCTTGTTTTTTCCCCTTTAAAATCAACTCAACAATGGTCCCCATTTACTGTCCAAGCTGGCTCTGTGTGATAATACCGCGAGTATGATTATGCCAACCCCTCCTGCTCCTCACCTTACACTTCATATCTGAAGGTCATGGTACTAACGATTGGCATGGATGTGTTCCCCGGAATCTGGTTATCATGCCTGACTATTTATAATTCTAAAATTGAAGATTAAAAAACAAGTTAACTGGCACTTTTTAGGATGAGTATGGAGTCGGAAGAGTGAATCAGGCAAGGGAGAAACAGGAAGGGCTAGATGAGCACAGACAAACTCTGAGGGAACTTAGATTACCAATGCCCAAAGCTGAAGGTAACTCATGGTTTGTTTTTCACAGGGGAGGACCTGTTTTACATACCACGTGGAATGCTCCTGGGGCCTTGACCGGTCTGAAGCCATCAACAGGTACGCATTGATCAGCATGGCCGTTGCAGAAGCAGCTGCCCTTGACAATGAAATCATAGATTGCATAATGTGTAAAATGTTGAGGCTTTGAAGTCAGGTCATTTCTCTGACAGGGACAAGACTGCCGTTTTAGCAGCTGCACGCGGAGGTTGGTGATCTTCAGCTGCTCCTGCACTTTGGCACTGTAAGGGTTCTCTGCATCGTATGGCGGTGACAAAGCTCGGAAAATAACCTGTAAAGAAAAAAAAAATTACCGTGAGTATATAGGACTGTGAGCAAAAACCCCAAATCACTTGCCTCATACAGGCTTGATGTGATTTATACCTTTTATCTCCTGCAAGTGATAAGAGGCTTTTTGACCTTGATCGCACAGGTGTGCTGCCTGTTCGGATGTGCAGAATAAGTACAAACTGAATAGCCGCCAGGGACCTGACTCTCGAGATGAAGGCAGCCAGACAGAGACTGGGAAGAGCATTCTGGGCAGAAGGAAGAGCAAGTTTAAACGCCTGGAAGCTGAATCAAGCCTGGCTTATTAAAGGAAGAACAACAAGGCCAGTGTGACTGAGGTCCAGGAAACAAGGGGACAGTTTTCAGAGAAGAGGATGGAGCCAGTACATGACAGATCATGAATAGAGAGTCCTTTAAAGGCCACAGTAGTTATTCTAACTGTAAGTGGGAAGCCACTGGAAGGTCATACGCAGAGAAGTGATGTGATCTGATTTACATTTTTAAAAAAAGATAACTCTCGCTACTGTGAGGAGAATGGATTATTAGGGGTGAAGAATAGGAAGAAGGCGGAGGACCAGGTGGGAAGTGATGGCAAAATCAAGATGACCCTTCTATTTCCAAATGAGGTGTGATCCTTTCGAAGACTAATCAGTAACTAATTGGGGCCACTGTTGCTACAAATACCTTTGGTTCTCCCTTTCTGAATCTGCCTTCTAAGCTGTGGCACATTCTTGGAATATTATTACTAGTAGTAAAAATACAGTCCTTTCAAGGGGGATTTGATTTCTGAAATCAGTTAAAAGTCCCTTAAATCCAAATACAGAGAAGTAAAATGGCTGATCAAGTTAGTTAACAGTATGGTTAAATGCAAAGTAGAAGTAATAAAACTGTTTTTATTGTGTATGTTATAGATAGACTCAAAAGGCAATTTAAAACTTTAATTCTGAGGAGGAAACCAGAGGGAGGAAGACTCAGAAGGGACGGACTTTGGGCGTGTGTATGCGCGCGTGTGCACGCATGTGTGTGTGTGTGTACGTGTGTGTGTGCGTGTGTGTGTGCGTGTACATGTGTGTGCTGTGTGTGTACGTGTGTGCTGTGTGCACGCGCGTGTGTGTACGTGTGCGTGCGTGTGCACGCGCGTGTGTGCTGTGTGTGTGTGCTGTGTGTGTACGTGTGTGTGTGTGTGTGTGTGTGTGTGTGTGTGTGTCTATACAATGGGGGTAATAAAAGGGGCCCTGGGCTGGAGTGGTACAAACTTCTCTAATGGGTCTGTTAACTTTGAGGGAGTAGAGGCTGGTCGAAGAGGGTATCATTGCCAGTGGAAACCAATGAATATAAAAAAGGAATTCCAAACTACCTCAAAACATAAACCAGTATTATAAGGAGGCCAATACTAAATTATACTTTATTATGGAGGTTTAAAAAAAAACAGTACAAAACTTCAAACAATCTTGTTAATTTATATAATAAGAGACAAGGCTCCCCTGAAAAATTCTTAGGTATCTCTTGATATTTTAAAGATATGTGAGGGCGCCTGGGTGGCTCAGTCATTAAGCATCTGCCTTCAGCTCAGGTCATGATCCCGGGGTTCTGGGATCGAGCCCTGCATTGGGCTCCCTGCTCAGCGGGGAGCCTGCTTCTTCCTCTGCCTGCTGTTCCCCCTGCTTGTGCTCTCTCTCTCTGTGTCAAATAAATAAATAAATAATCTTTAAAAAAAAAGAGGTATGTTAAAACTCCATTCAGAAATATTTTGATAACCAAGTAGTTTGAAAGTAAAGTAATTATTAAAAAGTAGGCTTTGGATAAACTCCCATTTAGAGAGAATGTATCTAAAAGTAGTTTTCCAGGAAAAAAATTTCTTTAAGGAATACTTTGGATATAAAAATTTCATTTTAGAAACTGATTTTGCACTGGGAGTATGCAAAGGCAAGAATCAACTGTGAAGGATCACATCTCCAGGCCCACTGGTGCAGAACTCTCCTAAATGAAATATAGTTTGGGGGAGGGGGTAGTAATTCAATGGATACTCTCCACCCCGCAGCCAGAGTGATTCTCTATAAACAGAAGTTGGATCATGTCATCCTGCTTAAGTCTACCCCCACCCAAAGACCTCCCATTTCTTTCAGAATAAAACACAAAGTCCTTATAGCAGCCTTACATCATTTTTGTTCTTCGTACTTATTACCAATTGACACATTGTAGTGGTAGTTGTGTATGGATTTACCATCTTCCCAGTCTAGAAAGTAAACTTCTTGAGGGTAATCACTGATCCCTGGGCAGTGCCTGGCACAGAGTCAATATTGAATAAATTTTTGGTAAATGAATGGTTGACTATAACATTGTTTTTGGCATTCAAGTTAATAGGTAAATTTTAAATAACTTAACTTCCTCTTATAAGGTCTTAAACAGATTCATACACTGAATTCATGTTATTGCACTAGAAGGGAAGAGGTAGGAACTTGTATTATAAAAACAGTTATAAATAACTGAATCATTAACCAGTTTCTGCATTTCTAGCTATTTTTGAACTTGCAAAACTTGGAAAAGTTTGTACCCTAAACTTTAACAATATTCCACCCCATTTATTTACATGTAAAGTGTGGAAAACAGTATATGGAAGAAAACTTTCCAACAAATAATATGTCACCTACTCAAAAGTCAATATATTACTAACATCTCTTTTTACTTTTTAAAAATTTTATTTTATTTAAATTCAATTAATTAACATACAGTGTATTATTAGTTTCAGAGGTAGAGTTCAGTGATTCATCAGTTGCATATAACACCCAGTGCTCTAGAAGTAATGTCTCTTTTAAGGATAGCCTATATCACCACATAATTTTACATTTGAATCATTAAAAAAATAAAAAACAATGAATCCATTGTGAGTTTTATGTGGGGCTTATTTTTCATATAATATCCCAAATACTGGCATTCTGTTAGAAATGTGTGAGGCACTCTAAATAAAACCAATAATGTGGCTACCTCCTGGTTTATTGACCACAGTAATGCAAGGACATGTTAAAGGTCACAGTGCCAACCACGTAAGGGTTCCACTGCAAAGTCTATAGCATACTTCTCTTAAATTGTGGCCCACCCTTCCTTTTCCTCCACATTGGTGGCAACTGTTTGCTCTCTCAGTTCCTGTCACATATTTACCCTTGACATTTACCCTCGTTCCCTCTCCCTCCCTCCATATAACCCCTGCCTCCTGAGAACTGCTTCTCACATGCAAGGCTAGAGGAAGATCTGTCAAGGTTTGTAGGAACTTAGAAGCTCTTTGGCTTCCTGAACCCAGACTGTGGAAGCTGAATGGCAGCTCTGTGCTCAATGTGCATGACACCACAGTTGGCACACTGATATCAGTGGGGTAGGGACATCATGACCCCTGAGACTGCATGCTGGAACGGAGACAGCAAAGTGCCACAGACAAAAGTCAACGGGAATTTAAACCATGAAATCTTTTTTCCAGAAAGGAGACGCCTTAATCTGATACTCTGGGAAATGGATCTATCCTGCGTCAGGAAACAAAGAGTGCGCCAATCCAGATGCTTCAAGCTTCTGGCAGGTCGCCCTTTGGGTCCCACCCAGTTTTTCTTCAAACATCTCCAGAAGAAGCCTGCGTGGCACTACTAAAATGAAGTAAGAAAAAGCGTAGAAGCCCTCCTGTAACATCAGCCTCTTCTGGTTTTGTCCCCATCAGGAACAGGATATATCTGTGAGCCCATCACTGCTCCTCTGTCAATGACTGCTTCTGAAGAGACATTCCTGACAAGACATAGAAGACAGAAGGGATCGGGCGCCTGGGTGGCTCAGATGGTTAAGTGTCTGCCTTCAGCTCAGGTCATGATCCCAGCGTCCTGGGATCGGGTCCCGCATCGGGCTCCCTGCTCAGAGGGGATCCTGCTTCTCCCTCTGCCTCTCTCTCTCTCTCTCTCTCTCTCTGTCTCTCATGAATAAATAAATAAAATCTTAAAAAAAAAAAAAAAAGAAGACAGAAGGGATCTAAGACCAAGGCTGCTTTGATGATTCCAGCTTGTTAGTGCTACTGACCAGGACTTCCTGATCTTATTTTTCAAATTAAGAAAGTTGATTATGTTTCAGTGGCTAATACTCTCCTTACAGAGAAATCTGTCACTCAGAATGTAGGCGACATTAAGAATCTACAATGAGATCCCAAAGACAACCAGGAATAATACCAACTCCACAATATTTTCCCATCTACGCTTCTGTATATATACATGTAGAATATAATGTAAACAGCTTTGTTTCAACTTAACAATGCCTTGTGAATTTTTTCCGACTCAATGAAAATAACTCTCCATCAGTGGTTCTCAAAGTGTGGCCCCCAGACCAACAACATCAATATCAAACCTGGGAACTAGTTAGAAATGCAAATGCTATCTATCTATCTATCTATCTACCTATCTATCTATCTATCTATATCTATCTATCTATCATCTATCTATCTATCTATGAGAGAGTGAGCGAGACCAGAAGGGAGAGAGAATCTGAAGCAGACTCTGTGCTGAGTGCAGAGCCTGACTCGGGGCTTGATCCCACGACCACAAGATCATGACCTGAACTAAAACCAAGAGTCAGACCCTCAACCAACTGGGCCACCCAGGCTTCCCAGAAATGCAAATTCTTGATCCCTATACCAGGCTGACTGATCTGAAACTCTGGAGGTGGGGCCCAGCAATCTGGGTTTCAACAAGCCTTCCGGATGATTCTGATTCACAATAAAATTTGAGAAACACTGCTACATTATTTAAAAATCTGGTTAGAAATCCATTGTGTGGATATGACATAATTTATTTAACCAGGCTGTTGTTTTTAGGCATCTAGGCTGTTTCCAACTTTTCCGTATAACCAACTACAGTGAACAATCGTATAGCTAAAATGCAGAAGTTTATAATAATATCCTGAAGATACATTTCCAAATGTGAAATCAATGTTTTAAATGAAATGCATAATTTAAAAACATCTCTGAATCACAGACCC